TGAAGAGCTAAACAGAGAATTCTCAAAAGAAGAATCACAAATGGCTGAAAAACATTTGAAGAAATGCTCAGCATCCTTAATCATCAGAGAAATGCAAATCAAAATGACTCTGAGATTCCACCTTACACCTGTCAGAATGGGGATGATCAAGAACACTAATGACAGTCAATGTTGGAGAGGATGTGGAGCAAAGGGAACATTCCTCCACTGTTGGTGGGAATGCAAACTTGTACAACTACTGTGGAAATCAGTATGGTGGTTTCTCAGAAAATTGGGAATCGATCTACCTCAAGACCCAGCCATATCACTCTTGGACATATATCCAAGGAATATTCAATCATACCACAAAGAAACATGCTCAACTATGTTCATAGCAGCACTATTTGCCCGTCAACTGAAGAATGAATTAAGAAAATGTAGTACATATACACAATGGAGTACTACTCAGCAGAGAAAAACAATGAAAGCATGAAATTTGCAGGCAAGTGGATGGAACTAGAAAAAATCATCCTGAGTGAGGTAACCCAAACCCAGAAGGACAAACATGGTATATGCTCACTCATAAGTGGATTCTAGATATAAAGCAAAGAACAATCAGACTGCAACCCACAGAACCAGGGAGGCTATATGGCAGGGTGGGACCCTAGGATGACTGTGGCTTAGAATAAGTTTTGGTTTTACTCAAAAAAAAAAAAAAAGAAGTAGCCCTGAAAGGAGTGTATGAAGGTATGCATTGATACGCTGAATGGACTCAGAAGGGGAAGATCTTATAGACAAGAGTCCTCAGAGACAATTGTTCCAAAATATTCCCCAATTTATATGTTACTGCTATGTCTTTGGATGAAAAAATAATATATATAGTAGTAATAGCTCTTAAGCTATAAATATACACAAATGATTATTTTTTCCTCTAGAATTCCTAAAAATATCCCTCAAAAGCTCAGTTGTGATAATTTCAATTTTTGGTAACTTTTTTTATTGGGCATTTACTAGAAGTTTGCTCAAAGGACAATGTTTGACAACTAATGTATTTATTATAGTAGAGAAAATTTATGTTCATAGCATTTTTTTTTATTATAACCTGGAGACAGGTACATGACAATATTTACCCCAGAAAATTGTCCATTAAAACAACACCTATATAACTGAAAGATTGGACTATGCAGTCAGACAAAAAAATCAGTATTGATTTATATAATATCCTACATTAAAATGCTGGCTGTAGCAGTCTCCCTAACATGGATTCAGAGATGATCATTTTATAAGCATTCATTAAAAAGCCATGAGAACTCCAAAATCCATAGGAATCTTTTTGAAAGAGTCTTTTCGCAAATTGGTTATTTTTGAACACATGCCTCCTGAACTTTCCTGTGAGATTCTAAGTTTTACAGGATGGTGCTCTGGGGCTAGACTGCTTGGAACATTGTGCTCTGCCTCAGTTTACCGTCCTATTCCAAAGTCACACCAGCAGCCTCTAGAGTTTTCCTGGGTATGTAGGGATATGGGGTGGGACTCTCTAAACTTAGAAAAATCATGGGCATAGAAAGAAAGCTTTTTAGGCCTGATCTCTATCTACCAATATTATAGAAATTAATCTGGAATAAGATGACTATTGCATACGTTATCACTGTGGATGAGCAGGATTTCCCTCTATGCTGATTCTCATCTACCTCACTGGTAACATAAACTTGTTGGGAGGAATAAAATAGATAATAGAAGCAAAGTGTGTACTTTGCAGTGCTATTGTAGGATCCATCACTGTGGCCAGGTTATGCTGGAAAAATAATCAACTTGTTTTCTCAGGATGCAAAAAGGGAGCAATTAAATTAATTTATTAAATTCATAAAATCTTTTTCTGTTCCTTTTAAGAAGGGTTTCTTAAAGGTTTGTATAAAAATCACTCAGATTTTTCTCTAATTTGTATAAGTTACTCAACAAACTTGAGTTTATGAAACAAATTTTAGAATATTTTTGAATTGACAATACATGTAAGTATTTAAAAATCAACATTAAATATATCCCTTAAAAGTTCTGTTCTTAGGCTGGGCAGTAGGGTCGCATGCTTTTAATCCCAGCACTTGGGAGGCAGAGCCAGGCAGGGCTCCTTGTGAGCTGGAGGCCAGCTTGGTCTACAGAGTGAGATCCAGGACAGGCACCAAAACTACACAGAGAAACGATGTCTTGAAAAAACAAAAAACAAAAAACAAAAAACAAAAAACAAAAAAACCAAAACCAACAAACAAAAAAGTTCTGTTCTTCTTGCCTCTATTCATCCTGATTTTCCTTCTCATCTTAGGCAGCTGCTTTCTGAAAAATATTTGTATTGTTTAGGAATTTAAGTAAATTTATAAAACCTAACATTTTTTTCTTTCTATTTTACATAGATTAGTTGTGTTCTGTAAACTGTTCTCTATGTGGCTTTCCCCCTTTTCCTTAGCAATTTATATTGAACTCATTTCCATATTAGTACAAAGAAAATTTTACTTTGTTTTCTTAAAGCTAGGTAAACTGTAATATAAGTATATCTCAGGGATTCAGAAAATGTAACTGCTTTGTGATTTTTTTGTTTGTTTGTTTGAGACAGAATCTAATGCTATAGCTCAGGCTAGCCTGAAAATTATTCTGTAGCCTAGACTGGCTGCCAACTCATGAAAATCCTCAGCCTCCCACAGGCTCAGATTATAGAAAGCCACCACATCCTGATAAGTACTTTAGCTGTAGCCAAAGATGTAAAACTATGTTTGCATTGTTTCTATTATTAGAGAATCTTAGGTGAATAAAAGCTTAGAGGTGACCCCATCTGTCTCTTTCATTTTATAGACTGTTATTTCAAACATTCAGGAACTCTCTATAAAAACAGGATGCAGGGAAAAATTAAAATAATAAAATCCTTATTTGTAATTCTAGTCATTTTTAGAAGTACAAAAGCACTCCTATTTTGGGTTATAAAAATACCTGTTGTGCCGGGCAGTGGTGGCGCACGCCTTTAATCCCAGCACTTGGGAGGCAGAGCCAGGTGGATCTCTGTGAGTTCGAGGCCAGCCTGGGCTACCAAGTGAGCTCCAGGAAAGGTGCAAAGCTACGCAGAGAAACCCTGTCTCAAAAAAAAAAATACCTGTTGTAAAGAAATGGAGAAAGAGAGGACTGGGGTTGGGAATAGAGGGGCATAGGGAATGGGATTAGGAGGAGAGGAGGGAGGGGAAACTGTGGCTGGGATCTTTAAAGGAAAGAATACCTATTGTAAGACAGATTAGAAGCAATTGGGAGTCATTTCTATCATGGAAGCAATGGCATTTTTTATTATTTATCAAAAAATTATAATACTGATGAAGACAGAGAAATAGAAGAACATTCAGAAAAAGTTAAGAGCACTGTTAATTTTAGCATATCTTAACCTGCTCCAAGATTTCCATTAGGACAAGGAGAAGGCAGCTGAATATAGTTTCTTTACCTTTAGTATCCGGTTTATTCTAAATATTGGATTAAATCCAAAGAAGATGTAGAGAACTTCAAATGGCAATAGAGATATGACATCCATCTGTTGAAAGGATATATTCACAATTATGTAGAGTTTGCATACTTTCCTCTACTTGGATTTGTACCCATGCATGCTAATATATGTACAAGCTACTTTTCTGTTGCTGTGATAAAATGTCCGGCTAAGCAACCTAAGGACAAAAGAGTTCATTTTAGCTTACGGATCTAGAGGGTTATAGTTCATCACAGTAAATAGGACATGGCCTAGGCAGGGAAGGCATGGGGACAGGAGCAGGAAGGTGGCTGGTCACAATGTGATCTAACTCAGGAAGCAGAGAGTGAACAGGAAGTAGAGGTCCAGAGAGCTATCATCTTCAAATTGGCCACCAGTGTGCCAATTCCTCCAGCAAGGCTTCACCTTTTAAAGGCTCTACCACCTTTCCAAACTGTGTCAACATCCAGGGACCAAGTGTGGGTTTATGGGAGATCTTCCACATTTAAACTAGAATAGTATGTAGTTGTCAAGCTGTAATGAATTATATACTATTTAATCCAAAATTGCTTTCAGTTTAATATACGTGATGCCATTTAATGACATCAATATCATGAAAACAAGGATACTAGTAGTCTATGTCAGTACATTTTATTTCACCTTCCTTTATCTGAGTTCTCTTTAGATATCACCTTTGCTCAGATTTTTGTCGGCTCACATAGTTCAGTGATGCCACAGATGCTAATGTTAAAACACATTTTCATAGTCTTTGAGACATGAGGTTCTGGAAAACAAATCAAATCTAGTTTGACTTTGTTTGAAACTCTTGTAAATTCATGGCGATGACACTGCTTTGTGGTCCATCCATTCCTCCAATGCTCAGAGTGGATTATGTTATTCTGGTTCATCTAGGTTCCTCAGTGATTTCTATCACTGTCTTCTTTGGGTTGTTTTGCTGCCAACTACATGGGATGAAAGTTTCTATCAAAGACTATACAGTATAAAAGAGAGATAGAAATCAGCTCTGTTTACAATAAATCAGCAACTCAAATGAGAGGATGTATTGAAAGTACTGTGATATTATAGCTAAAATATTCATTTAAAAACTTTTCATGCATTTACATTATTCAGATCTGCTTATAGCTTGGTAATCATATGGCATTCTTTAGTAATCAGCATAATTTTGTCTACTTTCTTTTAAAAAATATTTAAAAAAATCTTGTGTGTGTGTATGTATGTGGTGTGTGTGTGTGTGTGTGAGAGAGAGAGAGAGAGAGAGAGAGAGAGAGAGAGAGAGGGAGAGAGAGAGGGAGAGAGAGAGAGAGAGG